TTCATGTGAATAACGCGACTCATTATGATGCTTCGTTGCAGCTTCTGAGTCGTTCTGTGATGCCATTGTTGGTGGGTAAATCTCAACCTCATTTGTTTTGGTTGGGGATCCCAACATTGATACACTCAATGCTGAATACTGAAGAGAAGAGAGAGAGAATGACTAGCGCGACACAATTTGCTTATGGTTTAGGAGTTCGTGGTGCTAAGCTTTTACGGCCTAGTGGCCCGTTTGTGTTGTTGGATATTCAGTCTTTGAGTGGGAATTGTGGGGAAAGATGCACAGAGGATGGAATGCATTATGATGGGGTTGTATATGAAGCCGCTGTTCATGTCATGCTTAATGCTCTACTTATCCAGTCTCAACAAAAATTGTAGTGATGGTTTTGTTATTTAGCTGGCCGTTCTCTGACATTGATCACAGATAGCATCTTTGATGGAGCGTAAGCTTTTGGTACTTTGTAAGAGATTGCTTCATCCCTGTATCTTTGATGTATCTTGGGTGATTCCTGATGTATACTTCTCTACGTTTTGGATTAACTTTTAGCATGAGTTTTGATTTTCTCGTAGTGGAGAGATCAATTGCTTGATTTTTCTTATAGCTTAGTCAAACATGTATTAGTATGGTATACTTACAAAACTTGTATGCTATAGGCAAAGGGGAACCCTTAATGTTTTTCATTCATTCGAGTTAGAAGCTGTATAAGTATGTGGTTGCACTGATGGAATAACAATCAAGAGATTTTTTAAAACCTTTTTTCACTTCTTGGAGATCTCCCTGTTCTGGCGTTCTTTGGTACTGTATGACTGTCACTAGCATTGCAAGCCTGCTTGATATTGCTACAATAATTTAATAGTCTTGGATGATGTAACAGAAATATTTTGCTATCCGTTGAACTTGCCGGAATCTGTCGTTTGTAATTGTGACTTGGAACTGAGCATTATATCTTCTCTGGTTGCAATATAAGGATGGTGTGGCATCAAGGCGATCAATCACATCAGCCATTCTGGTATGTTGTATTTTTAATTTTTGCTCAGCTTTAATGGTGCCAGTTTAGTAACGGAGGTTATGCATGTCATTAAAATGTTAGATATTTCATGAAACGGTTGTTGAGTACACTGAAATTATATGATTATACTAGAAATTTGGTAATCAAGAGCTCCATTGACTCAGAATTGTGTGACAGTGCATCCACATGATGCATCTGTAGAATGTTCTAATATTTTCTACTGGAATTCAAGTGCAGAGAGAATTGTTTTTGTCTTTCTTTCAATTAGCATAGGATGATTAATCATTTACTTCCAATCTGAATTTCCACTATTTCCTGCACATCCAAAAGTTAGAACAAAGTTTCAATGATCTAGAGCAACATGTCAACGAATGATGTTAAGAGTAACTCCATGACTAGTGTACTAGTAATGACAGATAAATTGGGCTAATTCTATAAGTTAGCAGTAAAAGTATAGCCCTTGGTATCTAATTGGAAGTCATGCAGTTTGTGACACCCTAATTTTTGCTCTAATGTCACATTCATTTCCCACATTTATGACAAGTTGTAGATGTAATTAATTCTCAAACCTTCAATCAAAAATTGAATCTCTCCTTACTTTATGTATTTGGTCCTGTCCTAAATATGGTTAATAAGGGCAAATATACATACAACAGATGGTGAAGGACACCTTCCTTCATGAATGAAATCTACAAGGGTTAGGAGGAGGAGCATTGCCTAGGAGGAGAGTGGAATTTTTTTTTTACTGTGTGTAATTTTTTATGCATCCCTAATGTGAATTACGAAATTTTATGATTATTTGTGGAGGACCTCCTGAGCTTGGGATATTTTGCATAGTATTTGTCCTTGTATATTTATCGTAAATGTTCATCCACGTATCTTGCCTCTTGACATATAAACAGAACATCACATACGTAGCTAGTATTCTATCGTTGCAATGGATAACTATTTTTTCTCTTTTGTTTTAACAGAAATGTCTATGAACATATTCCAGAAAAACCAGATTTAAACTTATCATGAGTTGTGTTATTGCTGAACTTGACATATGTTTTTTTCAATCAAAATAAAGGCAAATGAGACTGACCTATTGGCCAATTTCTTGATCAGAGCCAAAATATTAGTGACCCCGTTTTAATGAGTTGCTGAAAAAGAGTATAAAGATACTGCCTACCTTGTTTATGGTATGGTGTTAATTGTTGTTGGTTTTTTGCCTATACCAGGCCAGAGGGGCAGACCTTAAACTTGATTCTGCATCTTCTAAAAACTCCTTTGTTGTTGGATAAACATACATTTTAGATTTTCATGTGTATGTTATTTACAATATGAAATGTACTGTATAATTTAGTTTGAAAAAGATAATACATATGGTCAAGTTCCAGGAACCCTTCTTCAAAAAAAAAAAAAAAAAAAGGAACCCTCTTACTGGAAATGTTTTGCTGAAAGAGGCCTACTAATGGCATGTTGAATTGCATCTTTGAATGTCTTTGCTAAAGCAGCTTTGCTTGGAAGCTTGACCTTGGTGATCAATAGCAATATGATTCTGTAGACCTCTATCCTCATATTGCACTTTTATTGCTATGCTGAGTACCAATGAGGATGTTGATGATAGCTTTCGATGAGGGTAAATTTAATTGTGTGAAATTTTTGTCTTTCTCTTGATGGTGATGGTAGTTTAAAACAGTGACTGTTACATCAGAGACTTTTGGGCATGCTTGGATAGGGGATGATACATTAAGGGGTAATAAAAGTCAAACTTGAAAAAACATATAATTAGAGGTGGTGTTGTAAAAGACATGGTGCTCACAAATGGAATAAGGTAGTTGTGCCATGAGGAAAAGAGAGAGATGGAGGAATTATTACTCTCATAATGAGGGTAATAGTTACCCACCCTCCCCCTAGTGTAACTATTACCCCCCAAAATGAGGGTATTGATTCCTCTTTCTTCACCTCACACGATACCATCACTATATAACTTTTCTTACAATCACACCATCACTATCTCCTTCTTCCCTATTTTCACATTCATTTTTCTTAGTTTGACTTTTATTACCCTAGTAATACATCTCCCCCAATCCAAGCATGCCCCAGACATAATTGCAGGCCCTCAAGGTTGAATATGTCTTCTTTCATCTGATATTCAAAAGCATGAACTATCCAAGCACACTAATATAATTCTTTCAGAAGCCTTCTTTTCTCTGTTAGTCTTAAAAAGAATTTTTTTTAAAGATCCTTTTACAGTGTGCTTGGATGAATGGATTTCTTAGTAAGAAAAGGTAGGGAAAGTAATGGATTCAATTCTAATTGTTTGGATCTGAAATGGCAAAGTGAAGGCCAGATGATTGGGGTATCGTATACCCTTCCCTTTCAAATATTTCCGGAGTTGAAAGGATGTGGAAGGAAAACATAAGTCCATTTCTCCTTTTCCTTTTCCCTTTCTTGTTTCTTTTTGTGTGCTTAGAGGTGATACAGTGAAGGTTGGGTGGAAGAAATTGATGTGTAACAATCCTGCACCACCAAAATGTTCGTTTATCACCTGGTTAGCCATTCTTGGCAGATTAACAACCTGTGATAACATGCTGAAAATTGGTTTTTCTTGTGCTCAGCCTGGAATACAATTATTTTGTGTGCGAAAGAGTTGAAAACGCGTGATCATCTCTTTTTCAAATGTGATGTTTCTGGTAATGTTGCTACGTAGCTCTTTCTCCTACTGTATGGGAAGCAGTTCTGAAGTCGTTACATATTAGCAAAGCTCCTGAACCATAGACCTCTGAGTTGATGTTTGGGCAGAATACGCTTTCTTGTATTTTTCTTACAGATGGGATAAGTTTAACTTCCGTGGTTCTTTTATTCAAATAGCTTCTCAATCACAGGCATGATATCAAAAGCTGCTAACTCTAGACAGCTAGCAGGTAAACTAATGTTGCAGCTGAAATCAAACGTGTCAATTTGCATAATGCAGTGAATGAGCAGATTTTAAGATTGTCAATACACTAATACCTTAACTCTCTTCAAATGCTATGTGAATTATTTTTACCAGCATTTATTTTTTGTCTCTCCAAGAAGAAAGAGGGTGAGGAATAAGTGACTTAAAAAATGAACAATCGCCTTATTCTAACTAAAATAAAAGGTTTGGTATGTAGTAATACCGAATCCTTTTGGGACCAAGTCTTATACGAATATATATATATATATATATGAAGGACGAAGTGCAGTTAACTTCCATTGGGTGAAGTTATGCTAATAGTCCTTCATACTCATCATGAATTGACCGATGAATTTTCAGAGCTGTAATAAAACTTTACTCTGAAATTCAGTTGATCCATTCCGCGTTTACATCGTATTTGGCTCAGAATGTGAACACTTATTGTCGTTTCACAGAGTAGAGCGTACAGGTTATGCTTCTGCTGAAGGAGTAGAATCCCATTGGGAATTCCCTTCTTCAGTCATTTGTGCGCCAGGAGAGGTTCACTAGACAGGTTTTTTAAACAGCTGCACCTTTTTTGCTCTTTTTGGTGATGTGGAATCAGCACCAACACAGCTGTTCTCAATCATTTTTCAACTAAATGACTAATGCAATGGCTCAGAATTACCAACATAGAAATTACTAATAGACAAGCAAGACGATCATTGTCTCATGTGTTTACACTTTACAGGTTGCATTAAGCAGAGATTTATTTGAATAGATATACTTTTGACTCAAATACTCAATTTTTGTACAGATCATATTTGTAATGCCTTGGATAGGGGCTATCCAATATCTATTCGACTATTCACGGTAGAATATTAAGTTTGATAAGTTCAAACAAGTTCTCGAACCAGTGAATCCCTTCATCACTGAAAGAAGCCAAATAGCCTCCAGAGGACTATCAGACTAATTTCAGTCACTAGTACAGATCATCAAAATCTAACCGTTCTGTTCTGACTTCTTGTACAACGTGACTCATATTTGGTACTGAATATTATAGAGTTAAATACGAAACTTCAAAAGCGATTAATTTCAATAAAACTGCTTTGACTAACTTTGCTCAAGCATAGCTTCCCTCATACATTGTTTAGTACAATTACATTACCACTACCCTCAAACAAGGGTTCAGTTCAAGTGGTTGAAAACGGACATGAGCCACAGTCAAACAGCTAAGCCAGTATTCAGCTTGTAAACATTGCTCTAGGTTCAATAGGTGTACAGTGTACTAGTCTGCTTATTATGAAGACAGTGAAAAATGAATGGAAAGGGTGCATAATATATGCAAGTGTCAAGACTGATAAACCTCAGGAAGCTGAAGCCCTACACTGGCAGCTGATTTTCCGAGTATCCTTTTCATCTCATCTGATCTGTCCACAGCAATGTTGTAGGAGAATAGGAGCTCCTAAAACAAAAACGAGAAGATCATGATAAAATTAGAAGATCAGTGCACCAATTGGTGTAGATTTTGTAGCAGAGAAGCAAAAAAGAGGGAAAAAAAAAAGCAATAATTTATACAGTATGGATAATGTGTAAAGGGACATAAGCAGTCATAGGTCCTAGAACAATATGAGCTGAACATATTCACCAATATTAATAAGATTTCAGATGAGATGCATAACCGATGTCACAAACTTCGTAGATACTGTTCTTCAATCAGTCATCTAACATCAAATCAGTCTGTAGATATCACTTCCTTTCCCCCATACCATAGCAACATTGAATCAGGACAACAGTTCATTTATGCATTCTTTTAACTACGCATTATTCAGAAAGAACAATTTACTGGGCTCCGAAGTCATTAACCACCCCCCCCCCCCCAACATTTGTCTAGATGGAATGGTCTACTCAATTTGTATGCAGGTTACCTGATATAAAAACCCAACCCTCTAACTAAGATTTTAAGGAACCAGCAAAACAAAAACAACCCACGATATAGAGAAGAGAGAAGAATATTCACAGGTATAAAGATATACTACAAACTAACACGGAAGAAACAAAAACAAAAACAACCCACGATATAGAGAAGAGAGAAGAATATCCACAGGTATAAAGATATACTACAAACTAACACAGAAGAAACAAGTGATGGTTTCTTCTATGAATGTCTAATTGTTTATAAATGAAATTCGACTTCGCATAATGCAAAGCTCTAGAATTGTATACCTTGTGATGATGGACACTATCAAGCAAGAAAGTATAATCATTTGCCAGCTTCAATTTATTCTGTATAGATGATGGATCAGACAATTGACGGTTCTTCTTAAACTCTTCCATCATATAATCACTAAAGTGCCTTTTGTAGTCTTCCTGTCCAATGTGCTTCTTCACAGATTTGAGAAGTTGCCTACAAACTTTCACAGCATGAAGTCCTTCTGAGCCCATTTCTTTTTCTTTCCTTCTTGGTGTTAATTATCTTCTCGCTCCCCTCCTTTCTAGCACAATTATACCGAATGAACAAGCCTGTTTTTAGAAAAGGCAGCTACCACTGTCAGAAGAACAGAATTTATTCCTGAAGAAGTTATCATTAACAGTTAACACGACAGGAATAAGATCAGCAGATATAAATGATAATCGGAGTTCCATCTAGTCAAATTCATTTCTTCAAAGCATCTTGATCCCTAAATTCAGTGTACATCTCTCTCAAAAGAAAGCACATAGATGATAGCCAAATTACAGTGCAGCTATTCTTTATCATGAATTCATGATACTTCGAATGTATCAAGATCAAACACTAATATGGAAATCGTTCATTTAAAATGCTCGAGTTTTGATTCATTGTATTCTGCAGTCAAGCATTCTAAATTATCAAGAAGATGTAAACTTGTAAATGGTAATCGAACATGACACGACCTACAAATCATCAATAACAAACATGCCCTAAATAATCACATTGACCCAATCCCTCAAAATCAAGGATTCACGACCATTTCATCAATATTCCATTTCTAAGGTCACAATTTCATAGTTTGATCCTAACATTGAAGGATTAGGAACCAAATTCGACTCGTCTTATCAAATAAGGCTCAAAAATTTACTAAAAGTTCTCTCGCTTAATAGTATCAGTATCAATGTAAATCGCTGGTTATAATCATTCAGAACTAGATTACTTATAACAATATTAACAATTAGTTCAAAAATCCAAGTTAGAAGAACCCTAAATTGACTAATTAATAATCTAACAATTACTAAGACATTGAACAAGCAAACATTAAGTGAACACCGATTAACAATCAAAGCCTGTTAACCCTAATTCGCCCCAAATAAACAACTAATGCCATAATTGTTAACCCATAAAGCAATTAGACCAAGCTGAAATTGGTATACAATGATGAAAAATAAATTAAAAAATCATCGTCTTACCTTAGGAGCTGCTTTAATGGAGGAGAGAAAGCTCAGAAGCCACTTCAATGAAGAAGAGAACTCAGAGTACGCTTCAGCGTATGAGAGAGAGAAGGCTTTTAAAACAGGGAATTAGGAACCTTACAACTACGGGTTAATATCGGGGGTGTTAATGAGCATAGCTAGTTCGTGTATGGTTCGAGTTAGGCTCGAAATTTATGAGACGTATGAACCAACAAAACTTGGCTCAATAAGTTCGTGCTCAAATTTTTACAAACATAGTCGTAAGTTTGTAACATAGTTGAGAAATTAGAAATGTAGCACAAACATATTTGTAACATAAAATTAAGTTCTAATTTTCGAAATAAAGTTTTTATATTAAATTGAGATTTAAAATTTTAAAACGGCTATTTCACCAAATGCCACCGATTACTTTAAAAATTCACCAAATGTCATCGGACTTTTCAAAATTCACCAAATGCCACCCAGTTTTTTAAAAATTCACCGAGTGCCATTAATGACCAACGGTCGTTAACTCTGTTAGTCATTAAGGGTTAATCATGACACATGTCATGATATAATTGGTCCTTTTATCTTAATTCATAAAAAAAAAAAAAATAGAAATATTTTTTAAAAAAATCCCAAATTTTGTTATATAGGGTCGGGGCAGAACCACGGTGGGTCAGATTTTGAAGGCAACCTCGACATTATCCCTAACATCCCCGTCATCCAACATGATCCAAATGCCTCCCCTTTCACCGGAGCCGCCGTCGCAACTGGCAATTCTGCCCCACCTGACCCACCGTCGACCCCAAAAACCACCCACACAAACTGCCACGAGCATCAGCAGAGTTCGAGTGAAAGGGTTGAACAATTTGATTACCCCTTTGATGGGTTCAACAGCGTGAACTATTAAAGGGGTTAAACGAGGGAAATAATGAGGGCGAAGGAGTAAAATGGAGGAGGAGATTACCTTTTCTAGGACATCGGGAACTGTGGTGTGAGGTAAGAAGGCGGAGATTAAGGTTGAGCGCCGCCAATTCTTGCACACCAATTTGGAATTCTGCAAATCCTTGGTTTTAAAAAGTAATTGAGCGATTGATTGAACTATTTCAGTGGGTAGATTTGACCAACTCCGGCATTTATTGGTGGTTTTTGGGGTCGGGGCGGCTGTGTGGGTTGTTTTTGGGGTGGCTGATGCTCGTGTTTGTGGTTTTATAGGGTTGGGGTAGTTTGTGTGGGTGGTTTTTGGGGTCGAGGGTGGGTCAGGTGGGGCGCTAAATGGCCGGTCGGCCGATTTTCGGTGGTTAAGGTGGTGGTCGGGCGTTTTCCGGTGAGATAAGGGGAGGGGCTAGGGTTTCGCGGTGGTGGGGGTGGCTGGGAAAATTTTGGGTTTTTTTTTTTAATTTTCTGTTTTTTTTAAAAAAATTTCTGTTTTTTTTTTTATCAATTAAGATAAATGGACTAATTATATCATGACATGTGTCATCATTAACCCCTAATGACTAACGGAGTTAACGGTCGTTGGTCATTAATGGCACTCGGTGAATTTTTAAAAACTGAGTGGCATTTGGTGAATTTTGAAAAGTCCGATGGCATTTGGTGAATTTTTAAAGTACTCAGTGGCATTTGGTGAAATAGTCGATTTTAATATTGACAAAGCTTGTAATTTGCTAAAGTTTGAATGAAAGTATGACAAGGTAACATTGCTCATTGTTGCCTCACTCGATTGTCCATCCTAGGGGTGTCAATTCGAATGATCGGATCGGGTCAATTTTTAAAGTTAAGTCGTACTAAATTGTTATGTCCACGCGAATCTAAATCTGAATCGAATATTTTTAAGACCGGTTTCGAATTGAGTTGGGTCGGGTGTGTTTTTGACACCTCTAGTCCACCTAGGGCTATTTGGGAGTTTTGGGATAGAGAATCACATGTAATTCTTAGTCTTCATTTACTTTGTGAAATTTTGGCGGATTGTTTGTTGGACCTAGAAATAAACTAGTCAACTTAGAAGTGATCAAATTTCAAGTTGCTTAAAGTAAGCTCATTTGGTGCTCATTTATACCACAATGATTAGAGTTCTTTGAGCTTAAAACTAAACTATCACATCATTCTACAAATGAGTATCTTATGGTGAAACCCAACCTTTTTGGATCATAGCTACTTACAGAGTTATTGTTGTTTAGGATTAGAATAAATTTGATTCACCTTTAAAAAAAAAAAAAAAAAATAAGGAGCTGCACTATAAAGCGCAGTAATTTATTCACATACATCTTCTGTTTGATGTTGTTCTTAGTTGCTATTTTATAGACTTTTCAATACACATCTTCAAACATCAATATCACTAATAACATATATTTAAATTTATTTAAGTTAACTTGTATTATTTTGAAACTACACATGGTAGAGAATTTTACAAGACCTTGCACAAACTCAAAGTGTGGTTTCTTATACATAAATAAAAATATCAATAAGAAAGGGAGGAATATTGCAAAATTGATTTTGTTACTTCTTGATATTTATGTGGCTTGTCAATCTCACATATGAAATTTCTGCTGTAGGGCATCCTAAAAAAACCATTAGACACTATTCATTTCACATCTTGGATGATACTACAATCAACTTTATGCAAAAAGAAACTTAAAATTCTGCATAACGTCAGTCTCTGATGTACAATGCTTCATCATTGTAGAAAGCGTGTTGAATGACATATAAGCTTCTCATTCTACTTCGATCCACAATGTCACAGCATGCTTGAAGTGGTGTCTGGTGTCATGGAAATATCCACTCCAATATTGGCAAGGCCTCCAAATACAAGGTGACATTTGCTTTGGCTTTTCAGAAATATCTCGATAAATGACTTGTACAGGCATACCTTCATACATCATAACAAACTGTTACCATACGCTCCTCCAAGATAGGCTTGTCATATCTTGTGCACACTATAACCAGGATCTTCTACGGTCAAGCTTTCCTTCCAATTCTCGAATTCAGATCCACCAAAGACAACTTGTTTTATGCCAACAAAACTTCCCATATGGAACACCAAGCACAAGAGTTAATCTAACAGTTTATATAAATCCTCTAGTATATATTAAGGAGAGTAGGTGATGCACAATGTAGTGCAATTCCTTCAAGCTATGTTACTCAGACACTGGTTTGAGTATTAGGTGTAGGTAAATATCAAAATGGTTGTTACACAAGAATGTAAAAATCAGACACGATACACTATCAGCTAGAATTGGACATGGTTGCAAGGACAAGAGTCACACAACATATACAGTACATGTTCATGTTTAGAAGACTTTGTGTGAGTTAAAGCATACAGATACATGCACACATCTTAAGCTGACTTGATTTTTAATTTTTGTTGAAACACTTATATGAAACCTACTTGTGATTTGTGAACACGTATCGCACTTATTCTTATCTTCATTCTATTTTTACATTTTTTTTCTACGATTATGAAGTTCAAGAAAATTGAAGTGTAAGAGTGGGCATGAAGTGTTGTATAAGAATCATTACCCTTGTCAGAATGTTGATTGTTAGACATGGGTAGGAAGACAAGCTGAAGAGCCAAACATAGGCTTTAAGTTGTCAGAAAAAAAATAGCAATACTACATATGTACATATAACCTCTAGACTCCTTTCCATTATATATACGAAGTATCCTATATATTCCACTTCCATCATCAGATTTTCATTTTGCAGTAATAAGATTACATAATTTGATAAATAAATTCATCTAATCCCTCACGTATACATTAACAAGGTCCATGATATGACTGAGACTTTAACAATAAGATAGATGGGGAACTGGGGAAGGTATAAAGCCTTACTCAGAGCTTATCTGTGTCAATGCATTCAATAGAACATCCAGAAGCAGCGATTCACTTGTCCCAATATCAACCCTGGCAGCATATTAAGAAAAAATAAGTAATTACACCACAAATTCTATAGAACCTTGCAGTCTGTTACACGTAAAGAAGATTCAAGCTCAAGCATAATCACTTTCAATTTGAATTAAACTCCGTACCATATTCGTGCCACATTGTCTTGAATCTCAAGATCCCCTATATTATAAAAGGTGGTCGGATCAACATTCGCTCCTTGGATAGCGTCATAACTTAGTCTTTTGTCTAATGGAGATTGTGATAACTGCATCAGAGACAGAAAGCTTTTGAATTAGAAAGTACTGTAATTGTAACCTACTTACAAGTAAATTTCAAGGGCATAATTTTTCCTCTCTATGTATCTAGTAGTTGCATTAAGTTGATAAAAACTAAAAAGAGAGGTGGCCTTTCTAATGCACGAAACAAAACTTTGTTATTAGGATGTTCATGAACCAAAGAATTCATAGAATCATCAGGAGCATGAATATTTGATAATTCATGCAACTAAATAATAAACAAAGCTAGTTTGTATATACATCAATGCTGCACCCAAGAACAATTGAACTAAGAAATTGCAGAAGTACCATCAACTTTTGGCAAGAGTACATATCTCCAACATCACACTAAATATCATGCTCCTGAAGAAAAGCATTACCTGCATATTCAGTGAATTGCAACCACCAAGACGTCCAATGATGTGCCACGACCGAATAACCTATAAGCAAACATAATTATATATTTATATGAAACTACTTCCATTAAACTAGATTCATTTAGCATCATATACCCTGTCTTTTGAAGAACAGTGACTTACATCGCAAATCAAAGAAACGTCTTTTTGTAGTGGAGAATTGTAAAATTCAAACCATATATATGAATTTGTGAAATCAAATCTGCCAACCACCAAAAAGATTAAAATGAATAAACAGACTTAATTCAGGGTTACACAAAACAAAACAGCACTGCAAAGAATATTACAGGTATGTAAAGAAGTTTGATTGCTGTTTGAGACATTAGACTGTTAGCTTTACCAAGAAAATCAAAAGCAAAATGGGACTAACAGCACAAGAAACTAACATGTTACCACTTAACGGATAATCATCCAATCCATGTTAAATACAAGCTAACTCAAAAGTTATTCAATATTGTCCGTTACAAGTAACCCAGGTTAAGTAAAAGCCAACAGATTTTGGACTACGACGGACTAAGCAGACTAGAAGTTTGGACTTGCAACTCAAATACAATATTGCCATAGTGTGCAATGAATTTGCACAAATTACACATTAGAAACTCCCCTTACTTAACTACAAGTCTGTGATTAAACAAAACTTGAAACATAATCAACAAACGGTCACTATAAAGAAGCTGTGAATATAATTTCAAAGACGATAGCCCAAACTTACTTGTTGAATGTAACTTTCATGGGTGAGCCAGAACCAGTTTTAACTTGCAATATCTTGTTCTTTTTTTTCCTCAACCTTTCCTCCATCTGAAACATCATTCATACCACTAAGAGCTCGAAATCACATTAAAAAAAAAAATTAAAAAAAAAAATTAAAAAAAAACCATGACACTACTTCTCATCCATCACTCAATGTAACAGTAATTAATCAACTAAATTCACCAAATAAAGTATACATATTGAAATACACTACAAGATATAACCATGAACTTCATAGAATCATAGGAATTTCAATCTTACTTTGGACTGAGCAGTATCCGGATCATCAAGGCAGTTACCAAGAATTTCAGCAAATTCCGGGTCCCGGTCATAGTCTTTCTCTTCTCCTCTTTCCCTAAATCTCTTCTGAGGTCCATCAAGCTCCTCCTCATCATCCAACACCTCGAATTCGCTCTCCGAATTTCGGGTTATCAGCTGTTTCTTACACCCTTTCTCCAAGAACAAGATTCTAAAATCCCAATTTTGAGTCTTATAATTTCTGGGTTTTAAACATTTCCAATTTGAATATCCAAATTTTGGAAAAAGGGTGAAATTATTATGTTGAAAGGAAGCTAAGCAGCCTGCAGTCTTGGCTAACTCTAGAGGGTTTCCACCATAACACATATGCAACATCTTCAAATTAAAGTTCATGCCAAAAAAAAATTACTTAATTAGAAGTTGTAAACATTCATAAATTCTAATCAACAACTAAGAAAACCCAGTTCTAATCTGGATTTTGGGCAGTGTTGGAAAGTTAAAAGAAAAATGCACAACATCAAAAATACTTTGAATAAATCAATTGTACAAAATTCCAAAGTGCAAATGGATAGTTCAGTTAAGCACAAAGATAAAGAAATTTAGAGAAATTAAGAGCATAATTGAATAGAGTGTGAAGAAATGTGCAGGGAAGTTACCTTTAAGGAGAAGGGAGCACGATGAAAGGGATGAGTTTATAGTTTCGTCAATAGGAGCAGAAGATTGGTTTTCTATTTTTTCCTTTTTTTTTTTTTTTTATGGGAAAGGTTGGTTTTATCACATAATATGAATTAAGAGCATGCATTGTGAAGAAAAATAAAATTCTGGAATTTTTTTTTGATCCCATCAATAAAAAAATACCAAAAACTGGGCCCGTGTGAATATTTTTGTGAATAAGTTCACAGTGTGAACTTTTTTACAAAAGTTCATGAAGTTTTTGGTAAAAAATTACCATTGGGATAAAATTTTCCCCAAACTATTTCTTCATGTAACGAATTTTATCACCATTGGAAAAGCTCTAAATGCATACCTTTTAAAAAAAATGAGTTAAGGCATAATGCATAAGCTTATGGGAAAAAAAAAATTATGATCATCTGTGTTTTTTTATTTTTTCAAACAAGTTATCATTTATAAATTATAGCCGTTTTATATTTTTTAATCACAAAAAAATCTACCATTTAAATAAACATAGGTGTCATCATTTTAAATCTATTTGATCGTTGCATTTTGGGACTTCTCTGCTTCACGCTACTTTTTGTCTCTTTTTACTGTATTTCTTCCTATTTTGGCTCGTGGGGTGAGGGAGCTATTCCTTTCCATGGAAAGAATTGGGTATTATCCTCCCATTAAAAAGATCCTTATAGCAATTACAAGCTAAAAGGATATATATCCTCTTGATTGTTGATGCTCTTAGTCCCTCAACTTCAAAGTGTGGCAAATTGGTCCTTAGAAAGTTGAGGGGACTAAAAGTACTCGAATACCAAAGTTGAGGGATTGTACATTCCAAATATAATGGTGAAGGTGTATGCAATAAGGGTCATTTCCGTTGAATATCAAGCCTTACTTAAAAGAATGTGATAGTTATTTCCAAGATTATGAAAACCAATTAACATCACAACTATTATTTATCTTATGTTCACGGAAATGTTCATTAGATTTAGTTTTTATGTTCTTTAAAGAATGTGAAAATTAACTCTAATAAATGTGAAGTTATACTTAGGGCATGTTCTCATTGACTGAACTCGGCTGAACTGAACTGAACTGAACTGAAATGAATATTTTATAAGAGAAGGAAATTAGGAGCTGAACTGTACTGAATTGAACTAACCTGACCTGAACTGAACTGAACTGAATTTCAACGTAAGAGAACAAACCCTTAGTGCTTGTTTGGTTGACACACATAAATTCGCGAACTTTCAAGACAAGATTTTCGTACATTTTTCTTCTACGTATTCAAGTGAACATGCATCCATACTTCAAGCGAACTTTGTTTCTCTCCCATTATTAAGCCTTGAACTGTTATTCTCTGAATTTAATAACTTTAAATGTTGAAATTACATTTAAACAACCAAATCATAAAGTATATTTACAAGGTATCAATTCCAAAACTTTGATCTTTATACAAAGTGCTCCTAAAGTAGAAACCATCTACCACTCACTCTCATTCTCTCAACTTTGTTTCTCATTCAAAAAGCTACAAAAAGACAAACACACATTCAAACAAACACCCAAACAAGTGAAACAACTAACCATCCTTCTTTAACATTTCTTCTCCCTTTCCCTTTCTCTCTCACTCCCCTCAAATCTCTCTCTTGTCCATAATAATGCCATTTCATTCACACTCCCTCTTCCCACTCACTCCATCACTCCTCCTTCTCCTCCTCCTCCTCCTCCTCTCTCTCCTCCACCCCTCCATTGCACACTACAACCCACCACCCTCCTCCTCCTCCCCACTCCTCTCCCAATGGGAGTCAGCGAGTGCAACATACTACGCCGCGGCAGACCCCCGCGACATCGTCGGTGGTGCATGTGGTTACGGCAACCTCGAAAAAGCCGGCTACGGTAAAGCTACTGTTGGGTTGAGCACTGCTTTGTTTCACAAGGGTCAGATCTGTGGCGCTTGTTTTGAAGTTAGGTGTGTTGAGGATCTTCGGAATTGTATTCCGGGTACTTCTATTCTTGTTACTGCTACTAATTTTTGTGCTCCCAATTTTGGGTTTGCTGCTGATGCTGGTGGTCGCTGCAATCCTCCCAATAAGCATTTTGTTCTTCCTATTGAAGCTTTTGAGAAGATCGCTCTTTGGAAAGCTGGCAATATGGCTGTTCAATATCGAAGGTATATATTTATTCTTTTGGTTTTTTGGTTGTTTAAATGTAGACGGGATTAGGGTATGAGTAGTTCGCGAGACTTTAACCAACTAAGCTAGTTGACATACGGGTATATTTATTTTCATTTGCTTATTCTTTTGGTATTTTGGTTGTTTAAATGTAGACGGGATTTGATCCGAGGTACTGGATATGAAAAACTTTAACTAACTAAGCTAGTTGACGGTATTTGTGGGTTTGTTTTGTTTAGTTGATGTAGCTTGATTGGAATTAATTCAGGTGCTCAAGTTTGATTATTTTAAATAAGTGGTGCAGTTGAAAAGGGGGTTTTGTGATTATGGTTGTTGGGAATTTATGAGATGTTGCAGTCATCAATTGCATGTGTTATAGTGTAATTGTCTTGATAAAGATGCTAATTGATGGTAGGTTTGTTGCATGTTTTTCGACCTGGGTTCGAAACTTCTTAGGCTATGTTCTATCACTTAACCTCCTTATTTGAACTTATTGTGAATTGATACTATTGAGCTTACCTTAATTTAGCTGATTATGAAGTACAGAAAGTAGGGAGATTAATACCAAAGCTAGTCCTTGATCGAATTATCAATTTCAAGGACTAATTGTAGACTATGTTCTTTACATATTGGTTTTTCTTAGCCCCCTATTGCTTGTGAAATACAGGAATTTGTGTAAATTTGGGTGTGGTTCTGGTAATTTGAATTGGCTACGGGTCAATTTTGCAAAGTTTAGGTAGATTTTCGTACTTGAAGAAGGGTGATGCTTCTTCTATAATGACAAGCTTGCTTCAAAGATTTTAGATTAAATTTTGTCATTTGAGAAGAATTTTCTTTGCCTTCAAAAGGTTAGTGCTCACTCGTAGTTTAAAAAATCGTTAATTGTATATGCTAAGCATGTGAAAAATTTCATGCTCCTTACAAACCTTGACAGGGGAATACGAGTATAATGATCTTTGTAGTATTTCCTAAATGCTTATAATTTCCTAAAATAGGAGTAGATCATGATTTGATCTCCCGAGAAACTGAGATATCCTCTTTGAGCCGACATTGTCTTAAATTCTAAATCGTGGGGGATTGGGACAACTGCTATTTACTTATGAATGGAGTATGCTGTACCACAGCCAATGAGCTAAGTTTGATACTGCTTGATACAAATTTACCTTTCTATTCAGATACATTCATCCTGTATTCTATATTTACTATATGATGGATTGCACATTGTGGTGCTTTTACAGAGCCTTCATAGAAGAGTTGTAGTCATAGTACTCATTAAGCATTATGGGTTAAAATGTTATGAGCATATGATAACATTTCATCCTAAATCGGTGGTCCAAAATTCTGTATGATTCTTCATACTTTTCTTCTTTCTTCTGTTCATGCTTGGTACAATAGTTCATCCAGTAAAACAAAGAGGAATAAGTCGGATAACATCCTTGCATTCAGTTGATTTGGTGCTCACGTAATCTATTTAGGCACTTTATGAGTTAATGGTCTCAATACAAGGTTCACAGAAGTTTTAAGAAAATATATCTTAGAAAATTCCCTAAATCACTCAATGCAGTCTGATAATAATTCTAAATTCTTCCTGCATGTAAGCTTTGGAGTAGCTTTTCTTATACTCCCTCCATGTTTTTACATATAGTTTTAGGCAATTTAATTGACTTAAATAAAATAAGAGGTAAGTGGGGTAGTTGGAGTATTAAAAAATTATAAAAGAAAGATAGTGGGGTTAATAGTTTATTGAAAAGTAATGAATGTGAGAGGAAAGATATAATAAAACAAATAGTAGTAGGTTTGGATGGGGACCATGAAAGGAAAGAGATATAATATTTTAATGTGGCTTTTTTCCAAAAAAGGAAGTGTAACACTTATTAAAACACGGCCGGATTTGGTAAGTGTAACACTTATTAAAACACGGAAAGAGTAGACTATGTTTGGATAGGATTATTTGGAGGGAAAGTGAGGGATATTCATATAATTTCCCTTATTTGATAAAGGGCAAGGTTCCCTTTTCCATAAACAAAATCCCTCCATTGTTGGACAGATTTGGAAGGTCACTCTTTCCCTCCCCTCACCTCTCTTTCTCTTCCCTCCTTTTCCTTCCCCTCCCTTTCTCTTCACTATTGTTATCCAAACATAGTGTAAGACCATGTCTTAACTTATCTGTCTAATTATAGGGGATAAAATAGATAAACTTGTATTAAGGACAATCTCTATTTGATCCACCTCCTCTTAGTACTCCATAGCCTGTTTGTAAGAGCTAAGTGTGATCTTTGTAACATATGCTATGCATTTTCAAATTTTAGAGTTTATAGACTATTATTAATGGCATTCCCTTGGAAATTTCATGAGAAATACCCATTGCAATGGATTTTAGCCATCAAATGGCCAATGATATTCTATTATTGAAATTCATTAGGTGGCTTATTTGATACCCTTCCTAACGCTTGAACTCCTTTTGTGGATTATCTTCATAGTTTTACTGGGAGGAGGAAAAGTTCTAAACAATGTCCAAACAACTAATTTCACGAGGTCTTGTAAAACTAACAGAAGTGTAGATAAGTTGTTTTATTTTTTGAGAAGATTGATTGAGGGTATTAGCCTCGTAGTCGTGGGAGGATTTACCAATCGTTGATGGAAGCACAACTTCCATAATTATGTCTTCTTTCACGAATTTTTGAAGAAATAAGTTAAAATGGAGCTTGGAGTGGCTAGGAGATGATTTAAAACTCTTACAAATGAGGTAACCTTGGAAGGATGAAATTTCTCTCACATTATCAGCTATGAGGCTAAATTCTCTTTTCTTTCTTCAACACTTTTGGTATACAGCAGAGGGAAAGAATCTGGCGAATGGAAGTTTGATTTAGGACAATCTGTTGTTCTCTGAATGTGCTAAATTTAGAGTTTAAGACCCCTGAATTAAAAATCTTGGGCGGACTAAAATTGCCTTTAAGTTCAAAATTTATCAAGCGATTAGTAAAATGTATGGCTAGTATGTTCTAGCTGGCATTTGTTCTGTCCAAATGTGCCTAAATACCAAGATACACCTGCAAGTCCAAATAACCTGCAAGCAAAGCCTGGGCCCATGTTAAGAAAATCAATCTTAGCGATATACTATCCATGCCCATTTCATATTAAGTTGAGCAGTTATATTGTTGAGGGTGCTAATGCAGATATTGGGCATTAAGAAGTTGGGTTTGGAAGAGTATGTTTGAGGGGATCATGGTTGGCGAGTACAAAATGTACCTGAGCCCATATTTGAGATTTTAAGGCTTCAATTGTCGGCTGTTTGTCTATCAACTTTGAGGAAGAATGCTCGTGTCTCTTCAACATTATTGGTGAAGAGTTGTAAAGCCAAGGGGAGTGATGGAAGTGTTTGATTCAGGGTAATCTGGTGTTCTGTGTAGATGCTAAAGTTAGACATACTTTCAGAATTATAGATCTTGATTTGACTAATATTGTCTTGGTTTGATTAGAAGATGTATGGCCATTATGATCTAGCTTCCATTTGTTCTGCCCAAATGTCAAGATACACCCTGCTAGCCCAAGTGACCTGCAAGCTAAGATATGGTCAATATTAACTACTCTTTTAAGGAGCATTGCCTTTTTGCTTTCAGACTACTCCACTAAAGATTATTAAGAGTGGCAGCAGCGACCATTAGATCTTTTTTTTTTTTTTTGGTTATCCGTCTACTGGGACATCAATGCAGTAGAAAAAAAATAACAATTTATCAACTATGTAATGTACACGGTATAACATCTTCGGTTATGAAAGTACTTCACAATTTTGGTAAAATCTTTAGCTGTCTATGTATTGTTTTCTTAATCTGTTTGATATGGAGTCATGCATGCTTAATATAGCTGGATGACCATGTTATCTCGTCTCTTTTTATGTTGTTACAAACTGAGTTACATGTGTGCATGGAACCTGCTGGTGGTGTGCTTATATTCTTTCAGAACTCCTCTTTAAGAGTGTATTTTACCTCAAAACCACACCAGTTTGTTGTGTTTCCATGTAGTCTATCTTTTTCACTCTGCAGCAAATTAATTCACATATAACAGCTAGCAATTCCATAGCTTCAGATGTACAGCATGTACTGGAGTCCCATACCCATTCATTATCAATTGCCTTCAAACATAGAAATAAATTTTGCCCTTTTTGACAATTAAATTACTTTGATATTTCGATGTAGAGAATTGCAATTAGATGCATTTAATTAAAACCAGTAGATACCAAAAAATCAGTTTTTCTCCATGTTATACATTTAAATTTCTGAAAGATCTATGCAGCAAACTACTTTTTCCGACTGCCTGTTTAAGTGTTTGTCCTTCGATTATGAGCAGGATCCGATGCAGAAAGGAAGGAGGGATTCGGTTTACCATCGATGCATCTGGAGTATTTATGTCTGTTCTCATCAGCAATGTTGCAGGGGCAAGTGATGTTACCGCCGTAAAAGTTAAGGGGTCACAAACTGGATGGCTTCCGATGTCAAGGAATTGGGGACAGAACTGGATACTCAATGCTAATTTGGAAAAGCAGCCTCTTTCATTCGAGGTCACTACAAGTGATGGGGCTATTCTCAAATCATATAATGTAGCTCCAAGGAGTTGGAAAACTGGCCAAACATTTGAAGGAAAACAATTCGATTAGAGAGCTACAATTTGTGATCTTATACTACGAAATTATTGGATTAGAGTTCAGTTGTATAAGCTATTCTTGCACCACCTTCATTAGTTAGGTTAAACTAAAGAATGAGCCAAAGGCTTAGGATAAATTCTAGATCTCTGTATCATTGTATATGGATGTACACTATTCCCCATTTTTGAGGTAAATGGAATTTATGGCTGGTAGGTCATTGCCATCTTCTTTACTCATTTACCTTTAATACAGTACTTTGCATTACAACCTGGAAACCGAGCTCGACACTAAGTATTACAACCTGGACATCGATCTCAGTACTTTGCAATACAACCTGGAACTCGAGCTTAATAGTTTGCATTACAAGTTTACAATCTGGTAATAGACCTTAGTAGTTTGCATTTCTAGTTTACACCTGGAATTCGAGCTACATAACATAGCTTCCTCCGGTGAAACTGAATGTGAAGCATGCTTCAGGGCCTTGATTCCTTGAAATACATCAGGGGATATGCTTCTGCTGAGCACAACACCCTTGCTCAAACATGAAACCACGGCATGGTTAAGACTACTAAGAGGATAAGCACAGGAGACCTGAAGTAGAAGCAGCAGTCATCTATATAATGTTATGTACTACAATCAATCAGTCAAAGCCTTACTCCCATAAGAGGAGAATGTTATGTCACTACAGTTTGCCAAAATTCTTAACAGTCTCAAACTGATTTTAATCCTGAGCGCTCATACAATGCCTCTCATCTCTCATGGATTTGACTAAGCACATTTACAATTTAGCCTTCAACCTCAATTGTAATTACAATATTTTCTCTAGACTTTGTTAAAGTTTTATGTTTATTAAAAATCCCAAAAATATTATACTCCTTTTTTTTTTTTTAATGTATCAGTTTGACCAGCACATTTGTCAAGACATTACTTTGACCATTAATATTTTTAATTGTCTATTAGTAAAATTGTAACAAAATTATATTATGAAAGTAGACATTGTGACAAATCTAATGATATATTACGTAATACATAAAAATATTTATTTATTTTATAATAGCAAAAAAAATTAAATCAAACATGACATGTGAATAATGCAAAAGTCAAATTGATGTATTTAAAAAACAGAAGGAATATCTACATTAATTTTAAAATATAAATAGGGGCATTTGATGGACCCAAGCTTAATCAATGCCCAAGAAGCCCAAAACACTAGTAAACTAAACATATTTCAATCCCCTCGCTTTGTCGCCGCTAGCGGCGTGAGCCTCGACCACCCCTCCCCCGCAAAAACCATCCCTAGCGGCTAGGGTTTCGAGGGTGGTAGGAGGGCCAAGCGACGATTTCGGGGGAGAGGGAGATCGAGGCTAGGATTTTGCGGGGCTAGGGGTGGTTTTTGCGAGGGAGGGGTGCAGCGGTGGTTGGGGGAGGTGCGACGGTGGTCGGGGAAGGCTCGGCGGTGGTCAGGGGCGGCGGTGGTCTGGGATGGTTTTCCGATGGTGTTGGTAGGTGTGAAGGTGGGTAGGGAATGAGAATGGGAAAGTCTAGGGGGGTGGGGAATGGAGTTGGAAGGATTTGGGGTAATAAAGAGGGTAAAGGGAATGAATAAAAGTGCTAAACAAACACCAACAAAGGGAATCGAGCCAGCTAATTCCTATTCCCTTTCCTGATTACCCCCAACCAAACGGACCCTTAGAAACTTTACTTCGAGGTTTAGAAAAACTGTCATATTTTTTTTCTATATGATGACATATAAATAATTTTATTTAATTGTTGTGGAACATATTTAAATTTGATTATCACGTACAAGACAAATTCTTCAAATTTCAAACAAACCAAATACAATGCAAAAGAAAATTACTTTAAAAGATGAACCAAATATTCAAGTAATTCAACTAAATAAAGCTAAAGAAAATTTCAAAATAACTATTAAAAATAAAAATATGTCAAATTTGTTTAATTAAGTAAACAAATACAATTTCCTAATATATATATATATATATATATATATAAACAAATACAATGTACAGTATAGTAATAGTAATAACCCGAGACAAGTCACTCATGCTACTCACTAGTATTTTGTTATTTGATGGACATTAATAAACATAATTAATCATATCACAAGATATTTCTCACAGTAACCATGGCTTTAACAAATACTTTTCTTTTAAAAAAAAGGCGCTAAAATCTTGTGTTAAACAAATTTGCTTTAATTTACTTTTTTGAGCAAAATTTTACCCTTACTAAGGGCCTATTCTCATTGACTGAACTCAGCTGAATTGAACTGAGCTGAATTGAAATGAAATGAATATTTTATAAGAGAAGGAAATTATGAGCTAATTAAACTGAACTGAACTGAACTGAATTTCAACGTATGAGAACAGGCCCTAAGTTATCCTCCAGTAAATCAATTAATCATATATTAAATTTAACATTTAGCTAGTAAGACTTCAACTCAAAATCTATCCCTTAATCAATACTAAAAGTCGGCTTTGGTGACTTCAATGTGTTCCGGGCGACCTCTGGTAACTTGTATTTGGGTTTGTAATGGTTTATCGTCTAACTAGATACATATACAGTCAAATAGTCAATGCACATTAGCTGCCCTTAAAATTTTTTCGAGTATAAATGCTCTTATGCTAAAGTTAGTAAATAGATGATATGACTGTAAAGCTAATTCACATGGTTGTAGGTTAAGAAATTTCGTACTTAGAAGTGAATATATTGGGGTATTTATAGAAAGCTCCAAGCAAGTTTCTCGTGGCGGTCTTGTCAAGTGGGTGGTAGGTGTCCACGTGGTCAAAAGCAAGTCTCCACAAGGCTAGTGAAGTATGTTGATGTGGGTAATGGGCTGGTATAGATCATGATAATAAAATACAAAGGTTCAACCCAGTCACCTAAACCTTATCGATATCATCCTAGACTCTTTAATCAATCTAATATGTATCCTTAAAATTTAAAATGTGAGCTTTTAACGCCTTCATCATGTACTTGTAAATATTTACATTTATCTTTGTTAGTACATATACACAATGTGAATCATATACATACTCGTGTTAGCTAAACTTATCTCTATCTATATCCTACTTATTGTCAAATTTTGAAAGTGAGCTCTCATTGTTAGAATCCAAAATCCAATAAAATCAATACACTTACAAATTTGAATTAAATTGAGGAACAACATGAAAAGTAAGTTCTCACTTTTCATTATTAGTCAATAGTCATTACATCTCTAATCAACACAATTATTACTATTGTTTAGTCTTTTAATAGTTGTTACCACTTATAAAAACTCAATCCCTAAAATAGTTAACTTTTTGTGTTTTTCTATTTTCATGTGCCACATAAAATTAAATTTATCAAAATTATGTGGTATTCAAACATTGAAAAATCAACATTATCTTGTTTTTTCTATGTTGGGCCATGATATTGTGACATCTGCCTATCTAGCTACTTCTTGGTGTTGGATCACACCGTGACGGTGATGACTTACAGCCAGGTAAATAGGGCCCACTTACCAATATCCTAAATAAACAGTTATTAATATATTATCAAGATATTAGCCTTACAAATTTTAACCACATTTTTATTCCTAGAATACAGCTAAATGGTCCAAACAAAGGGGAAAAAAAAAACATAATAAAAAGAATATCTTAGATAGATCTTTATTTCTCTAAATACTTGGCTCCTGTTGGACTAGGACCTTTTTACTTTAAGACACTTGGAAAGTCCCCATCATTACTGTTGTTTTTTTTTTTCATTTATTTAATTTACTCTGGTCCATTATATATATTGCCCCTTGTATAAATAAAAATTATTATTTGTACACTTGTTATAGGCTTTTTTTTTTTTTTTTTTTTGAGGAATTGTTATAGGCTTATTTATTTCGGCCCTGTTCTTTTCACCTTACAAAAATAATATTAAGTAAATAAAATAATTTCAGTTCACTTCAGTAAAATTCAGTTTTCTTAAAGAAGAATTATAATAGAAAATCAGTAAAAATAATTTCAGTTCAGCAAAAATAATTTCAGTTCAGTAAAATTAATTTAAGTTCAGTAAAAATAATTTAAGTTCAGCAAAAATAATTTCAGTTCAGTAAAAATAATTTCAGTTCAGCAAAATTAAGGTGAAAAGAACGGGGCCTTCTTCTTATTTTAATTTATTGTAGATAAAATATTAAATTAATTATTTTTCAAAAAAAAATAGAAAATTTCTGACAAAATAATTGTATTCAAAGTATAATTTATGACAATGTTGTATTTTGTATAAGGTTATATTCAGCTTAACTTATTGAAGTCTCCTTTGGGTTTTTTTTAAAGTGTATTGGTTTGACTAGCACATAGCAATATGAAGATGAATTAAATAGAGTAAATTATTGTATAAATGAGATTTGTTGAGAAATTAAAATTTTGAAGAAGATATAGTGCATCCGTAGTTTATTAAAAAGTTAAAAATGTGAGTTGAGATAATATATAATACATAGTATACAATGTACAATATCATTTTTTTAATATTATATATAATATAATTGAAAATCATGTGAAGATAGAGATATAATTTTGAAAAAAGCTAAGGGTATGTTCTCCTCAGCTTAAGTTCAGTTCACTTCACTTCATTTCCTTATTTCCTTCTCTCATAAACAATTCATTTTAGTTCAGCTCCAATTAGTTCAGTTCAACTTAGTTACGTTCAGTTCAACTATGTTCAGTAAATTAGAATAGGCCCTAAGAAGAAGTTGTCTTGTAAAAGTAGTGCTTGAAAGTGAGGGATAACTCAGGTGGCTAGAGCTTTCTCTCAACTTCTGATCATCTTGGGATCAATTCTCATCACTCGCTTTTTAACTAACACCAAAATATATAAGAAAGTGATGCACTTAAAGAGATAGAAGGGAGTATTAGCTTTATAAAAATCCATAATTTAACTTTTGCACTATTAACATAGACCATTTTGATCTTCGACTTTTCTTTATGCACAAGTATAGTCATGTTGATGCTTGTTAGAATCATCTTAATGTATAGTTTTTTAATATTTTTTTATATAATTGCTAATTATTGATAAATAAAAAATGGGAAAAATTGCTAAAAAAAGTACATCCCTTAAACGGCTATCATCAAGACAACCTTTAAATTAATTCCTCCATTTTTTTAGTTGACACCATTTGACTTTTACAATATTCACACACTAGACTTTGACTCCCTTTTGCGCTTTATAGATACGAAAAAACATAGTATGTG